TCATAAAATCCACTGGTATCGATAATACGGATAAGAGCTAGTCTCCCCTACCCTCAATCTATACATTACCAAAGTATGTATTGCACAGTAAAAAGAATAACATAACTATATTGCCCATCATTCTGGTTAATTGCACATCTCATCGGTAATTCATAATATTATGCCCGTTTCACTCTGTGGCATGACTCATTCAAAAAATATCATAATATTTACAACCAGGACAGATATTTGACTCAACAAAAAAATAAAATCTGCCACAGTATCCGTGGTTGTAATAGAATTGGGCGACTATAATAGTATAATAATGGTCACTACGTATAATCCCAGCCCCCAGTATAGATTTTCTATTGTATCGTGCACCATTTTTTCCCACCTATTCAGTCATATTTTGAGACATTTTTAGAAGTTTAAACACTACCTGTTTTGTTAGATGCAAAAACAAGATTTGCTTTAATGTAAAGAAAGCCGGTTTTGTATCATTGATTACTGTTTGGTGATCCCAATGGCATTGAGTAAACTACAACACACATTGTCAATAAACGAAAACTGAGCCCCGAGGGAGTATTTAAGGTTGCTATGAAAGCATAAACATAAGTTTGTAATAAACACTGAACCATTTATTGAGTAAGAGCAGGTGTTCGGTTATCACTGAATAGAACTAGATAATATATGAACTAAATAACAAAATGGAAATGAAAAGGTAAGTAAAGTTGATCACAATGGCATTTACAACGCATATGGTGAGCAAACGTAAAGCTGAGCCCTGGGCGGTAATTATGATAATTTGATGACAAGCATGAATTCGTAATGATCACCAAACACTCACATTGAATTAGTCCATTCGATATACAGGTGTTCGGCGTATGCGCTAAATAGAACGAGCTAAAACATGAACAGAGTTGTGCCGGCTGGTGAAGAGAAGGTAAGAAATTTTTAATTGTTGAGCTTGAACACTGCAATTAGATATAAACGTTTGTCCGGAAAATGACGCCTGCACTAAACTGATACGCTTAAATAAAAAATAAGTCAGATTACCCTCTCTCTTTGGCAGTGATGCCCACTTTTCAGAAACATTTCAACTCGCATTTTTATCCCATATAGGCATATCAAAGCGCGGTGGTCGTCGCGCAGCGAGTGTTCGAATTTCATGTGAATAAACAATGCATTTTACACGCGTTGTATACGTCGCTATGAGTCCCATATCGAACAGGGCGCGGCACAACGACCACTGCCCTTTAAGTTAAATTGTAAAATATGATTACTTAGAACGATCCAAACAAGAACCAATTCATCGTGGCTATATCGGTCCACATTTGTATTGCACATTATTACTGTTCTTTTAACGTCGTACGAATAATGTTTGTTCAATATGCTGATGTCCTTTTCAGGGTGGAGTTTTCGAAACTGTTAAACAATACCGTAAGCTGGCTGGCACTCTTACTCTAACAGCGGCCTTGATAACGACAGCTGCGGCAACTGGGGTTGTGGCTGGTTCGTTACAAGCGACTACAGGTAGGTGAGATCAAAGAGTAGCAATAAGACTTTTGATAGCTCAGGTTCAATTATGCATGCTGCCGTTTGTTTATTCACTTTGAATACTCGGTATGGATTTACTGTTTTTTTTTTAAAAACCTGACAAATTGCCTTAGTTAGATGTTATAATATTACTTTAAAAATAGATATCGTTGCAGTTAGGTGTTTCATTCCATACATGGTAATTTATTCGTAATAGTTCAGGACATTATGTTTACCATGTCTCCATTAATTATTAGTTTACTTGTTCTCGGTAGGCAATATACAAACTATTTCTCGTGTAATTTAATTAACACTACTTAGTTGTCTGCACATTTGATTCATAGATAATTGTTTCTTTTATTAACTAACCGTCTGTGTTTAGTTCCAACTTTAATAAAAGGAGGATAAGACATTTTGATATTTGAATGTTTGAATATTATACATGTTGATTTATTCCGCATTCATTAACCCAAGATTGCGTTATTCTGCTGTTTGTCTTTGTTTAGCGACCCCTGCAAATATAAGTGGTCTGAGAAAAGGCGGCAAAAATCACAAATTCATATATTATTACAATATTTATTTTCCATTCAAACAGACCTCTATGCTGAATCATTATATTTTATGTTAAATAATTTGTATCGTGGTAGATAATAGCAAATGACCTTCTCTTTAATGACTTCTTTATTTTGCACGTGAAACTGAAGTTTCAAATGAAGTTTAATAACTAATCAGTATTATTTTATTTCTAATGAAATAATTTACTGTTTTCATCACATTTTAAACATTTCACTCACTAAACATGTATGTTTGTGTCACAAAATACGACAGTTAGCTGATTGATTATACTGTTTTATTTAAGGTGATGTAAACATTACTACTGTTTTTCCGTCTGTGAATATCAGTGGCCAATCCTCCATTGATAAACTACTTACACGGTTGAAACTAACCACATCAACATACAGTGTTACAAGTGATGCCACCACACGTGCAGATCATTCCACTGCTGTTGCACACCAAATGCAACCGACGACCTTACCACAGAACCGTAAGTGTATTATTTAGAGACACTGTGTCGCATAATGTTCGATGAAGTTGTTACTAATGTAACACGATGTAGACTGAACATCTGATAGCAAATCGTTATTGCAAACATTACTTCACGGAAATTGAATTAAACTTGTCGAAAGTGCAAATTCTTGATTTGAGAATCAGTGAAGAATTGTTTACAAATTTTGTGAAAAATGATGAAAGATGTGTTATTCAAAAGCTTGAATCGAACCATAGCAGGAATAACTATTCAACGTAGGAAGTTAACAAATTCCGCTGAATGAAAATGCAAAAATTTAAATATTAAAATCAATGTATTGATGTTTTGGCATTCAATGACACAAAAACAAAGGAATGCATGTGTAGATTTGCAGCGAGAACGGGTGTTTAGCCCTAAACGTGTTCTTGGTTTTGTAGTGGTGTATTGTACTTGCCCTGTGTTTATAATTATAATACGCAATGACGTGGAGATATACCAGTCTTTTGGCAGAAAGTACCATCACATCGACACTATTATATCATCTACTACTTACACAACACAAATCTTATTATACCTTTTCTGGCATAAAAGTGTGACATTGAATCACGCGTGACCAGGTCGCTAAAGAGCAAGATACCACTGTCATCCTATTTTATAATAATTCACATTCAGTTATGTAGATTATACATAAGCTATTATGTGTGGGGAAATGTCTATATTAATCTTATCTTATTTTTGTCAGCTTGCTTCATAAGTGAAAACACTGCACGGCCGGAAATGATTGGAGTTGCAGAAGATATTTTGTTTGGCAATTTGAATGTAGTAGCCGATGTCGATGCGTGTTGTCAATCCTGTGTTAATTACCCTGGATGTGTTGGTTGGACCTTCCATAAAGCCGACAATCAGATTGGAGAGTGTTGGTTAAAAGATGACATCCCACCTGCAGTAGACGCCGGTTGTTGTGATTCTGGATACGTTATCATATAAATATGAAACACACACAAACATATTGAGTGACAATGCAACTGACGAATTGGCAAACCGACAAACACCCATGATATAAAAAGTGTGTGAATATTTCAAACAAATTGAATTGATTTTTAGCACTATTCTTTTATATAATTGATGCACGCATTAAACAATTTGCTTAAACGATATTAACCCGTGTATCTAACATGTTTCATATGGCACAGTCAATTAGATATGTTTGATATTCTACCCAGATATCAAATAACTGTTGTTAATCTGTTAGGTTGATTCAAGACGTTAGCATCGAAGATGCAATTGCTGATTCTTTGCTTTTCATAATCGTTTGGAAAATTGTTATAACTTATTGCAAAATGTATTCCAAGAATGGCGTTCAAATAAGAAAATATAGAACAAGATAACAGTTTTGATTAAACGGATACATGGGATGAAAAGGATTTACAGTTCGTGATTCATATGATATCAGATTTATATAACTCCTGTGATAAGCTCTTCGATTAATGTCCCGGAACTACTGAAATCTTCCAGGAAAACCCATAGTACATGGTCACTCTATTTTTTTAGTACAGAAATGCTAATGTTATACATTTAAATCAATTCTGCACACAAATTCCCAAGACATGGAAATATGTAACCATGCCACATTCTATATACATAACACATGTACAATAGCACATGTGATTGCATGTTTTTCTAATATAATAAAGATTATAATCAATAAAACAAAGTTATTAGAACAGCAAGAGTTATATATATATATAT